TCCGCCCTAGCTTGACCTCAAGTGGTTGCGGGGAACTAGACTACTGGTTGCGAGATTGGTGACGCGGTTTTGGCGGGCGAAAACAAAACTAAAAAACAAAAATAAAACAAGAATACAAAAAACAGTAGAGTCGATCTTCTAAGCTTTCCACTGGTAAAAAACGAGCAGAACGAAAAACAAAACCTTTTATTTCATAGAAAGGTTATGAAAATGGAGGAACAGAGGGCCCAGCACGTTTAACTCAGGATGGAGGATCACGGACTCAAGAATTGGTCGAATCAGGTTAAGAGTATGAAAGTCCTAAGTTGTTACAGCGTCAAGGCACAGGGGGATTTTGAAAGTTTAGCTGGGTCTTAAATCAGTTTGTTTTCATGTTTATACCAGAGAAAGACCCAATTTTGACAGTAAAGACCTGGGACTTTTCCAAGTCTTTACCTAAGTCGACTGAAGGGGTTGATATGTAAAGATAGTTACAGTGAAACCCCAAGAGTTGTACAGGCCCCAGTGTGGTCCTGATAAAAGGAAACAAAATCACATTTTGTTGTGTAAGACTATTACCAAGGTGTAGAGTGACCTTAGAGAGAAGAAGGGTCTGCTGTAGTACTTGGTGTGGACTGAGAGAAGACCTCTTGTCCTTGACTATCAGGATGGAAACGAAGTCAACACCGACCTGGCCGAACTAGGAAGACAACTCCGAGGTGTCGAGGACCTGACCCTTGGATAGACTTACTTTGTGGTGTAAATTTTTCATGGTTTCTGAAAAGGTTGCAATCTAGGAAGAGAGGTTGTTTCATGGCTTTGTAGCTCCGGTCACAAAGAGAGATAATTAAACGATTGGTTTGTTGTGTTGTAGTTTTGTTTGTTTTTGTTGTGAAAGTGATAGAGTTTGATGAGACCTGAAACCCTCCTGTGGTCCCGGGACCATAGTCCAATTTCGGAGCTGTGTACCCTAGGACCCAAACGTGGCCCTTTGGAGACTTGTTTGTACATTCTAAATCTTTTTTGTGTAAGTTTTAGAAGGACGGGGGGTAAAACAACACACACACAACACACACACACACACACAACACCACACACCACACACACACACACACACACCACACACACAAACTGTGGGTTGGTTACACCACCACGGGTTGGGTCTCTTACACCAGCACAGCAACACGACAAACATGGTCTGACGTCCATAAGAAGAAGAATCGGCGACAGGACTCAGTCAAACTTACGGCGCTGATCAGTCTGCGCGTTTGTTTATGTAATTTTTTCAATTGCGTGGACTTTGTTGGTACTCTGTGTTATATTAATTATATACTATTATACATACACACACAACACACACCACACACACACACACACACCACACACACACATGGTCAGACAAGGTCGACGTCCAAGAAGATCCGCGACGAGGACTCAGTCGACGTCCCAAACCAGGGACACCTTTTCGCATCTCCGAGATTTATAGAGTGTAGTGGCTTGTACTAGGGAGAAATCCTCTAGGGCTTCTACAAGTTGTCGTAACTAGGGTAACCAGATTTTATTCCGGAATTAATCCCAATCTTCTCAATTTTCGAGTGGAATTACGATATAACTTTGTTATATAATGCCCCGGTATTAGATATGTTTTGTACAGAGACTTCACAAAACGAGGTTCTGTGGTTTGTCTAGTGACAACAAAATCGGGTTTGGTTTTGGTGGAGTTGAAGCTCGGTTTTGTGCTATGGATTTTACCGCCTTTGTAGATGTTTGGTGAGGTGGCTCCAGTATGTTTCGGGAGTTTTTATTTACTGTACAGTGCAGTGTTAAAGAGAGCTTGATGTATTGAGTACACACCATGCCCCCCCCTCTCCGGACCGTGTGGTCTCCGGGCATAAAGTAGGGCCCTACTTTTCCTCTTTTCACGTGACCCTTGCACGATGCCTTGCGTGCTTTATTCCACTTTCTCAATAAATTTTTTTTTGCACACCTCTTCCCCTCCAGACCGAGGGAGCGGGTTGTCGTGGAGGCTCGACTGGAAAAAAAGCAGCGCCTCAGTCCGTCTAGGAGTAACAGAGCTCGCCGACGACGTGCCAGTCGCAGGTCGGACCGTCCTTGACGTGGTCCAACCGCTACTTGCGCTACCTAGGGAGCCCACGGCATCGATGACTACTTATTGCCGCCCGTAAGCGGGAGTGCGGGGAAGTGGCGGAACTCCTAGAAGGTTTTCTGTGTCTTTTCAAAGGCTTTAAGGAGGGCAGTGAGCGCTCCTCCTCGAGTCGCGGCAGGAGGTGACAGCAAGGTTTAAGGGAAGGTCCAGGTACGACTTCGTGTTTGTCTCCTCCACACTGCCATTTGTCGGCAAACTTCGGAAGGGAGAGATTTGTCACTGTGTTGTGCGTCACACCGCAATCTAAAGCAACAAGCAGGAACACCTGCCTTTCTAAATGTGAGGCATAGTTGGGTATAATGCAGGTAAATTGAAAAGTACAAATTTTACTACTCTGTATCCAATTACATACAACCCATGTTCGCGTGTGTTTACAAGTAAAAAATTTTTAAGTATGCTAATGATCCGTTAATTGTTTTTACTGAACTTATCTGGGTCGCATCGGGCACTTTGAGTTTCGGCAAAGGGGACCAGCGTGCACTTGGGATTGTGGGCGCACGAGAGGCCCGCTTTAGTTTGCCTAGCTGCTCTCTAACGACGTCTCGGCTATCAGTAATGGAAAACGGCGAGACGGGCAGCCTTGCTGCAGAGTACCGAAAAAACTAAAACAAGCTTCCGCTTTGAGTTGCGGAGACGACGACGCGACGACTTCATGGACGGGGGAAGCGCGGTTGTCGAAAATCAGCCTCTAGTTAAGAGTGGTCTTGTCACTAGTCTTAGCCGTTTCCTGAGAAGACTGCACCTAAGGTCTAGGAAGGTTCGTGGGTCACCCGCCCCACGGTGCCCCCGTCGGACGGGTGGAGTCTTTTTACGGACGGGTGGGTCGTGACGGGGGGTCAACCGTCGGAAAACAAAACTCTTTGCTTTTCCAAGGCATACCGAGGTTTAGAGCCTGTAAATACTTCTTTCGAGAATTACAGGCTCACGTTACACTAGGTGTCGTGTCTCCCCTGCGCTCGGAAATTGGGAGGCCGGGACCGCGCTCGGGAGACCTTTATACTAGACCCGCGCGCTAAAGTAAAACTTGCCCCCCTTTCCGCGGTTTTGCTCTTCGTAAAAGCCCTAGGGTTCATCTGCCGTTCCGTGTACGGTCATAACGGGCCAGATGTCACATTGTCTTCTTCTCGTACAGTCCAACAACGACGGTCCGGTTGCAAATAACATATTTCCGGAAAGACATGCGGCTTGTGGAGGTGGGCACCGAATGTTTGTGTTAATTTTTGACAAATCCTTATGTATGTATTTTTTGTTGATATTTACCCGTAAATGGTTAATGCGTGGTTACGTGTCAGGCCGTTGTGTCCTTGGGCAAGACACTTTACCCGCATTTGCTCCTGTGGGTAATGTCCACAGTCATGACTCTTACATGTCTGATATGTGTAATGTGTATTTGTAAAGCGCTTTGAGCACCTGTAAAAGCGCTCTAATAAAAAATATAATCCATTATTATTATTATTATTAAAATGAAAATCGCTCACGTGGTGAGGCACAAAACTTTACAAGAGCACGAAGAGAGCATAGACCTGACTGTGGCAAGAGACAAGATGAACTGACACTGGGAGACAGGGGAATTTAAACACAGGGTAACAAGACACAGGTGGGGACAATCAGGGGCGGGGCTGACGCTGATGAGCACAGGAGACACAGAAGGGGTGACAGGTGAAAACAATCAGGAAATTAGACACACCAGGGAAACTAACGACAGACAGGAAAACACAGGGAGAGAGACCAGACAATACACAGGGAGGAGAACATGAGAAGGAGAACAGAAAAACACCCACTACCAGACACACCAAACTAAACACGAGACACAACACAAGAATCGTGACAGAAGCATCATCACACACTTCATGTATGATACCATGCTTTATATTTTGCTACGGTCAATTCGTAATTCAACTTGTATATTTTCTACTTTTTAATAAAATTGTATTTCTATTTGAGATGTTTACATTTTGGATCGTTTATTTCTTTTCATTTCTCTCATACACAATGCCTGCTGCAGCGCTACCATTCAGACTTTTTCCTGAAAATCTCAAAATTCTGACTTTTTCCTCTTGTCGACTAAATCTTCCAAAATGAACCAAAATCAGCCCAAAGAGTACAGGAATGGCCACTTTCTGGTTCAAACTGACTTCTCTGATCCTAAAACTGTCAGAAATCAGCTCAATAACCCCAAAACACCAAAATGGGCCAAACCATTTGTAAATATTGTCTGCATATGCTAATTAACGCAACTTATGGTAATTGTGCAAATTGTCCCCACGCAGGTTATCCGGCAGTTTCTATGTGCCGAAGACACTACTATACATTTCTACCTTAAAACTTTGTGGTACTCAACATTTCCGGGTTCAAACTGTCGACGATGATGTGACCCCTGGACTGAAATGGGTTAATCGCCCCTGATTTAAATACTTTATCAAACTCTATAACTCCCTTCAGTAAATGGAACTGAGAACTTCCACACCACCACTATGAGCAAAATGAATACCATGACCATCACTCTCTGCTATATAGCATGTGCAATATTATTATTATTATTATTAATAATGTTCTATACGTGCGATTATGGATCTGCCACTACTGTTTTTGTACTACTAAATACCGCTCGTCACTGTTCAGTATTTGACGTTAATTATGTGAGCGTCTTTGTTTCCTGTAGTTATTTAATTGCTCTTTTTACTGCTCTGTTCGTGTACAGTTTTAACGGATAAATAAAGTCCTATCTTATCTGAGAGTTGGTATAACTTTGATTTGTGTGTTTGTCCAGGCTCAGAGTGCTGCTCCTCTGCAGACCAGGAAGATTAAAGTAATCACATTACTCCGCACCAACAAGACAAACGCTCACCTGCAGGTGCAGTTTGAGGATGGTTTACAGGAAGTTTACGGAAAGACTGAAGTCCTTTCTGAGGGAATGGGCTTCAAAAGCGTGGAGGAATTCAACAAAGGCTTTTTCCACATGCTGCCTCTCACTGTGACGGCTCACATGCAAGGAAAGAGGATCCTGGAGATGAGAATGATCTGACACGTCGTTTAGTTTGCTTTGAGTCATGTTGAGAGGTTTCAGTCCTCTCCAATCTCATGTTTTACTAATAAAGAGATTCTAAAAGCAGAGACTGTTTTTTTAATCCTGTGCTTCAATAAGTTGGTCCTTTTATTTTCTAATTGGTGGATAAAACTATGGATGTTCTCTCAGCAGTTTGAAATAGAGAGTAAAAAGGGAATTATGAGCCTTTTTTCTATCTCAGTTTTATCTCAACTTTTTTCTTCTTTTCTCAATTCTTACTTTTATGTGAAAGTAGTATTTTGATGACAAGTCAGATTGTTTCACAAATTCTTACTTTTTTCTCAAAATCTTGACTTTTGTCTAAAATGTCTGACTTTTTCTCAGAATCTCGGTTATTACTTTTTTCTCGAAATTCTGACTCAAATTCAATAAGTTGGTCTTTTTATTTACGATTGGTGGATAAAACTCAGGATGTTCTCTCAGCAGTTTGAAATAGAGTAAAAAGGGAATTATGACCCTGTCTCAGTTTTGAGATTCTCCTCGCTGCCTAGCAACTGGAAACAATAAATCCAAAGAGATCCAAACATACCATGAAAAAAACTTTATTTCTACTTGACTTTATTAAAAAATATCAACAAAATGATCAGGAAACGTACACACACACACACACACACACACACACACACACACACACACACACACACACACACACACACACACACACACACACACACACAGTACAGTATGCATGCATTAACTCAACGCGTGAGAGCCGTTGGTGGCTTTTACCACCTCCAGTGTTTACAGGAAGTAAGTGTTGAGGAGAGGAAGGAAAGGAGCCGGGCTGCAACGACAAAGGACCTGATGGAGGAGAGGAAAGGGGGCAGAAAACACATTTTGTTTCACATTATTTCAATACAGGAGAAAAATAATATATGCTGCTCTGATTTGGACTGAATAGTTAAGAGGTGACTCCTCTTACTTGAAAGAAACACAGATTATTTTCAATTCTAGTGTTTTTGAGGGTTTTAGTGTTTGTAAAAAGTTTGTAAAAATATTGTCGTTAATAAACGGCGGTTAAATACAGTCGACATCTGCAGCACTAGGTCAAGGTTAGGGAAAAGTTGGTTATGGTTCAAATGTGAATGGTTCAAACTGTGGCCTTCTGAATCGAGGAAACACTTCCTGCTTCATTTCAGGAAATCGGTCGTTTGAAATAAAAATGTTTTTGATTATTAGCGTAATTCTTAAATGAAGCAAGTTACCATGCAGGCAATACTTTTAGGGTACCACCTAACCAAGGACCTCTTAAGAACTTGTTAGAGTCCTTTGAGGTAAGGTCTGCAGGAAAAGGAGAAGGGGAAGTGGGAGAGAAAGAAGGGGGAGCCACCTTGAGTTTCCTCCCGTTCTCTGCTCTCACACCACGAGAGAAAGCCTCCCTGCACACTTCCTATCTTTCTTTCTCCTTCTCTTTCTTTCTTTCTCCTTCTCTCCCGACTCACAGCCTGAATGAGTCAGTGGGCTTACCTCTTATCCTCCTCCTCCTCCTCCTCCTCTCTCCGCTTTTCCCTCCCGAGTTGACATGTTGGTGATAGTTTCCTAGCCGGAGAGAGTTTGGGATTACAGACATGGAGGTCTTCTGGGCCAGGACAGGTAAGAGACACTAAGACTGGCTTATTGTTTGGGTTTGAAATCATGTTGTGGTTTTGGGAAGTTGGAGCAGAGAGCGGAGTGGTCCTGGAAGGGGTCTCTTCCTACGATAAGAGAAGCACAGGAATGTTACACTTGACATTAGACGGGGTAACGTGACCATGTTCGCATCGTTTCTGCTGCATCTCTTGTGGCTGTTTCTTTGTGTTTACAGCCACACATCGCAAGAGCATCATAACTCCTGGTTGATATGAATTTAAATGTGTGTGTGTGTGTGTGTGTGTGTGTGTGTGTTTTGAGAGGCAGGAGCATTGCAATACCTTGTGTTGATCACAACGCTTTGGAATTTCACATGTTTGGTGCTGAAGGAAAACCCCAAGGAATAAAGCAAAAAAAAAACAACTTAAATCTTGTTTTGAACAGAAAAGCTGTAAAAAATCTTGAACCAACCCATTAAGTAGATTCATGGTTGGAAAAAGTATCTTATTCCACATTCAGACAGTAATGTTGTTCCAGGTTTTCATTGTGAGAGGGATATTTAAACCAACGACTCTATGGTTACCCTCTAATGGAAATATTTGAGATCATTACACATATTTGGTTGGATGGAATTTAATATGAAGTTCTGCGGATTTAAAACCATATCTGATTTCATTCCAAACACATGTTCATGTTTAAAGTTGTGATTACATGCTTACATGAGACACACAGCTAAGTGTGTGTTCGTGTGTGTGTGTGTGTGTGTGTGTGTGTGTGTGTGTCATCACGTCTGAAAGCCTCTTTGTGAGTCCAGGAGAACACACTTTGCACTTTGTTCATCTCAAAAAGTCTTCGCACGTGCCTGTTAGAGTGCCACAAGGTCAACTGAGGCTGTGTGTGTGTGTGTGTGTGTGTGTGTGTGTGTGTGTGTGTGTGTGTGTGTGTGTGTGTCTACACTTTAGCACATGGGTTGGTTTGAATATGTTGCTGAAAGAGCATTTTGACTCAGGCTTGGTCATAGTGTGGTTTTGTGCTCAGTTACAATGGTTTCCAATAGAGCAATTATTACATATCACACACACACACACACNCTCTAATAACTAGTCACAACCCACAGCCTCTTTGTCCCTGAGTGTGTGTGTGTGTGTGTGTGTGTGTGTGTGTGTGTGTGTCTACACTTTAGCACATGGGTTGGTTTGAATATGTTGCTGAAAGAGCATTTTGACTCAGGCTTGGTCATAGTGTGGTTTTGTGCTCAGTTACAATGGTTTCCAATAGAGCAATTATTACATATCACACACACACACACACACACACACACACACACACACACACACACACACACACACACACACACACACAAATGGCCTCCGTTTATCTACCATTTTACACTCTAGTATGGAAAAATGAACCGTGACACACACAGAGAGTCACATGCTGGCAGCACACGTACACACAGTATTTCACATAGTAATACATCAGTTAAACCATAACACACACACACACACACACACACACACACACACACACACACACACACACACACACACACACACACACACACACACACACACACACACACACACACACACACTTATCTCATTCTCTCGCTACGTCTCTAAACCCCCTTTCCTCATCACAGCCCAGTTTAATATGGAAATGAGAGAAAAGTAAATCAAGTGTCATCGAGTTTTTATGCAGATGAGTTGCTCATTTGGATTGGAGCGATGGACGTGAACTGGGGGAGTGAGAAGGACATTTCATCAGGCAAGAAAACACCAAAATGTTTCCAGCTCCTGAAATGTGAGAGAAAGGCCTTCAGAGGTTCACGATTGTTCCACGCTTGTTATGCAGGCCTCTGGCTGAAATGGATAAAAGGATGACATTGAAGTGAGGAAGAGGAGGAGGACAGTGAGAAGGACAAAACATTGGCTCAAGGTTGAAGAGGAAACGATAGGAAGAAAGAGGAGATTTGTTCAGATAATGAAGTGGACTTTAGACAAGTGCAATACATTTCCTGTTGCAGAGGGAAAGTGGAGTGTTGCTCAAGTCCTGGGCTTGAATACAAATGTAAAGTTTGCATACTTTGCTTCCATTTTATGCTACTTCTAAACTTCAGAGAGATACCGTGCTTCATACTCAACTACCTGTAAGCCTTTTACATTCAAACAAATTCAATGATATACTGAATATGATATACATATACTGATATGCTGAATTCAAGACTTGGACATGTACAGTAATGCAGTATTTTACGCTATGTTATTTTTGCTGAAGTAAGCAGTCTAAGTACATCTTCTTTGACCTTTCTCCGACATTTCGAGGCTTATTCCTTGTGCCTGTAATGTTTACAAGCTGGGCTGTGTGTGTGTGTGTGTGTGTGTGTGTGTGTGTGTGTGTGTGTGTGTGTGTGTGTGTGTGTGTGTGTGTGTGTGGTGCTTGGCTGTGTGCTGCTGTGAGTAATTAATGAATCTAAATTAAACGAGCGTAAATCGGTGATGGTTTCGACCCCGAAGAGTGATTTCCTCGAGTAATTTTTGGGCTCCNGTTTGAAGCTTCTTCAGCGTTTTGTATTTGCAGCGTTTGGTTTCTGGAGCTTTTAGTAAACGCTGCCATGTCTCCTCAAGTTGCTGAATGTTCTCTAAACGCTGCAGGTGTTGTCAAGTTGCTGAAGATGTTTCTTCATGTGTACAGGATGTTTTTTATATCTGCATCGTTTCTGAAGATGCAGCACATGTCCACCTGTCGGACCTGTCGGCAGTTACCCAACTCACAACATTCATCATTAAAGAGTCACGGCCGTAACACTTGTGTGTGATATAAAGTAAACATATTTCTTCCTGCCGTTAGAAACCGAAGACTAGTGACTCCCAGGATGGAAAAGCTCCATGGGTAAATCTTATTTATCACTTACAGCTTTGAGACATTTACTGTATTTACGTTCATTGAGATACTTTTCTTTTCTTTGTGAGCAGGAGAAATCCATCTTTGATCTAAAATCCAGTGGAATTCTTGAGACGGAAGCAATTGTTGGGAAAGTTGTTAAAAAATCCGTGCTGCTCACATCCACGATAAAGACGATTTATTTTTTTCTGGGCGTCGCCGACGAGACAGCCAGCGTCAAACTGATGGTGTACGGAACAGATCACCATCGACAAATCAAAGAGGGGAGTTCCTACATCTTTAGGAATCTAATACAAGATGGAATGTATGTGAAGGTCACCGCATCGAGCAAAGTGTCAGTAACAAAACCTGTCAACGTCCCGGAGGAGTTCGAGAGAGAAGCTGAGAGACTGCTTTATCCTGAGAGTCCACTTACCTCCATTAAAGACATCAAATCATCTCGTCCCCAGACACACGTCAGCGTCAAAGGAACCGTCACCCAGGTG